TTGAATAGCAGACATTACCATTTATTGGGTGTATTTCCTTTGTAAACAAGTGGATAGATGGAATGTAAGACCCATATTAATTGATTTACAAAGTAACATTTTACTTTAAAAAATATCCTATCACAGTGTCAGTAGGTATTCTGATGAGTAATTTATTTGAAAGTTTTATGATTATATGTTGAAATTAATATGAATGAATGTACTACTTGCTTTTCTCTGTTATGAATTAATGTTATTATCAGTACATGTTATGATGATGAGAGCAGGAAATATGAGAGGTTTTACTAATTTGTGAAAAATATGATGAAAATAGTGATTGCAGTTAACTATATTACATATTGTGCACCAGATTTTGTCATGTTTATTGAAGTTTAAAAGATGTGACATCCTTCGGTTGTCAAGTCAACTTGTGAAGTGACACCATAAAACACTTTGTGTGTCTGCAGGGTTTTAAGCTATGTTTTATAAGTGCGTAGACTCACTTCCTACCCATCTTGATGTGCAGAACTACAGCTAGTGGCATTATGCCTGGACCTGTTCATGGCGGGCTCGGAGACGACCAGCAACACACTTGGGTTTGCAGTTCTGTACATGTTGCTTCATCCGGACGTGCAATGTCGCGTGCACGATGAGTTGGATGGTGTGGTGGGCCGCAACAGGCAGCCCACTCTGCAGGATCGGCCCAGGTAGGTGCTTTGTGAACACACGCAGCTTTTCTAATAGCGATTAGCTAACCTTATGAAATATGAGGTTCTCACAGCAATGAAGATGTCAATGTTGATGATCTGGATTGTAATGCTTTGTGAAGTTGTTGGTAGATACCATTGTATTGTGCCTTTACTTTCAGAGCTGAAGGGCATAGCATTACAAACCATAATACCAACGTAGACATCAGATAACAAGTTTTAACCTCAGCTTACAGTGATTCTTCTGACTAATTTTTTTGTGGTCATCTTCTGTATGTGGCAGTGTAGAAAATTCAATGTCAGATTGCTGACCAGCTTCGGTAATATGTTATACCATTTGCATGTTACAATGCTTGTATCGCATTCCAGTATGGATCGAGGAAAACCATTTTCGTAGCCGCCTTGATCGCAGTCCGATAAGTTTTTTTTAGCTACGTAAAAAATAAAATCTATTTCTTACAAGTGACGACACTAAGCATTTCAGTAAAAACTATTCGAAGCTACATCTGTTGTTTCTTAAGCCACAGATGCACATGGGAATAGCTGAATTATGTTACATTTATGCCGAGCTACAAATGGAGCTCATATCAAAATAATACATGTGAAACAAAAAAAATGTTGTTTTTTAAGTTACAGGTCATTTTATTCTAGGTTAGAAAATAATTCAAAATTTTAGTTAGAAAGTCAAATCTGAATACTTCCGATCGTAGACAGCCAAAATGTTCCTTGTCTGTTTTAGGCTGTGTTATGTTGAGTCGGTCATCATGGAAGTACAGAGACTTGTCAGCATAGTTCCAGTTGCTGTAGCCCACAGAGCACTCAAGGACTCGATATTGATGGGACATATAATACCAGAAGTAAGATGCAAGACCGGATTGAACAGTTTGTTCAGATCACTGTTTGAATTAATGTCAGTGTCCAAAATCAATTCCTCACTGTGCTGGCAGATATCAGGAAGGTTGGGATGGTTGATAAGAACATACTTAAAAATGCTTGTGGGAACAGCAGCAACAGATCAGTGGTGGATCTAAGAAGGGAAATGTTCAGAAGCGGACTCTGTTGACTTGGAAATGAAGGGAATTACGTGATGAAGAACGTAGAATTATACTATAAAACTACGTGATTGCTTTAGCAGTAATGCTCTACATTTTTATTCAAGGCATACATAGTCTTTGCCAAATAATCAGCTATCCAGATGCTTTTCAGAGTTTTCCTCAGTCTTTTCAGGCAAATACTGTGATAATGTCTTTAAAAAGGCCATGAATTCACCTTCCAGATCCATATCTGCTCACCATTTATGATCATATTCTTGTCTTACAGTGTTTGCAGTTAAAAGAGCGTAATTAACCCTTTGAGGAGCGTCGTTATTTAAAGGGCCAATGACACAGCCAGAGTATTTCTTTCCTTTCACAATAAAATTGTCAGTGGGCCATTTTTAATCAGAAGGTCAAATAATTCGCTTTTTCCATGTGTCCTCTACCTTTTTATTCATTTACTACTAGAAATTACTGAAATTGGTTCAGGTTCACGCAAGCCACACTCATGTTTGGGTTCAGAATAATCCCAACATTGTCATCGGAGCCTAAGATGTCAGATTTTAGTGTTATTACCATTTCATCTATCTCCCTCTTATGCAAGGGGAGAACCTACTTCGTACAGGCTTGGTTTATGATCTGTCATAATTTGCATGTCACACAAAGAAAATATAAAAGTGAGAAAGAGATAAGAAGACAAACAGAGCACTTAATATAATCAGTCCCCATTGTCAGAAGCTTTACATTCCTCAGCAAAGCAAAGATTATTTTGTGCTTCCTAAGAAGCATTTAAGTAAATAAGAAATGTTTGACGCAAGCCTTTATTAACCGAGCACAAGGGAACTCTGAATTAATTTGTCGTCATCTTGACATGTCTCACCCATTGTATCGAGATATTAAGAGCGCATTTCTGCCGTTTGTTTAAACCCCCTTTCATTATCATAATCTTGCCGTTTACCACGTGCCTTGTGGTTTGCTCATTTGACTCTCTGTAATTACCAGGGTGCTACTGTGTTGGTCAGCATTTGGAGTCTGCATATGGATCGCAATCACTGGGGAGACCCTGAAGTGTTCAGACCAGAGC